TGACAGAAGATGCGGATCCATGAGGAGCCAGCCATTCTCACTATGGTCACTAGATCAGCTGGCTGACAGCCCAACTGACTGGGGAGAACGGTCTATCGTAGCCCAGCCCATATCACTGATCAATAGAGTTGTAAACTAAGTAAATGGCTCCTTTCAGCCAATAAATTTTGGAATGATTTGCTATGCAGCCAGAACTGACCAAGTTGCCCTTACCTATCTATATGACTCAAAGTTTATTCTGGGCACAAAACTTTCTTATAAGGTTTATTGAATTACCTTAATAACTTCCACCTCTGCACTTGACTTTGCGTTGTATGGACATGGTCTCAGTATACAGTAGTCAGAATACAGACACCCTGGGAAGGTTTGCTATTGGATCTCTGATCTGCAGAATATGAAGTTGACTAATGTGCTTGAGATGTGACATAGATAGAATAACACATTTCTTGGAGAAAATACAAAGACAGAGTCAGGACATAAATATCTACAATGGTATAGATTTAAAACAAGCAGTTAAAATGTTAATATGAATCCAGTTAACTTTGCCTCATGACATGATGGCTCATGAGTTAAAAGAAAAAAGAAAGAACAAAACCTGCCTGTCAGATACTGCATTTGTAAACTAACCAACTATGTCCTATGTATTCTATGTGCTCAGTTGCTCAGTTGTGGCCAATTCTTCGTGGCCTCATGGACTGTAGCCTGACAGGCTCCTCTGTCCATGGGATTTTCCAGGAAAGAATACTGGAGTGGATTGCCATTTCCTCCTCTAGGGGATCTTCCCGGCCAAGTGATTGAACCCATGTCTCCTGTGTCTCCTTCATTGGCAGGCAGATTCTGTACCACTAACCCCACATAGACACAGCCATAAAGTCTCCAATTTTTCCCTCAAATAATTTTACCATTTTGATATATTATTGAAGGGATCATCAAAGGCTCATATATTGTTCTAGATGTATGTGGGCAGCTGCCTTGATTCTAATGATGACACATCAGTGGAGATTAGTGAAAGGGATCTTTGATTTATCTTAATTTTCAGATATGCCGGTGTGTCTTTTGTATACAGTGGTCAGAATACAGACACCCTGGGAAGGTTTGATATTGGATCTCTGATCTGCAGAATATGAAGTTGACTAATGTGCTTGAGATGTGACATAGATAGAATAACACATTTCTTGGAGAAAATACAAAGACAGAGTCAGGACATAAATATCTACAATGGTATAGATTTAAAACAAGCAGTTAAAATGTTAATATGAATCCAGTTAACTTTGCCTCATGACATGATGGCTCATGAGTTAAAAGAAAAAAGAAAGAACAAAACCTGCCTGTCAGATACTGCATTTGTAAACTAACCAACTATGTCCTATGTATTCTATGTGCTCAGTTGCTCAGTTGTGGCCAATTCTTCGTGGCCTCATGGACTGTAGCCTGACAGGCTCCTCTGTCCATGGGATTTTCCAGGAAAGAATACTGGAGTGGATTGCCATTTCCTCCTCTAGGGGATCTTCCCGGCCAAGTGATTGAACCCATGTCTCCTGTGTCTCCTTCATTGGCAGGCAGATTCTGTACCACTAACCCCACATAGACACAGCCATAAAGTCTCCAATTTTTCCCTCAAATAATTTTACCATTTTGATATATTATTGAAGGGATCATCAAAGGCTCATATATTGTTCTAGATGTATGTGGGCAGCTGCCTTGATTCTAATGATGACACATCAGTGGAGATTAGTGAAAGGGATCTTTGATTTATCTTAATTTTCAGATATGCCGGTGTGTCTTTTCCCCTTTCCCCAGCCGCGGCTCTTCTCTGTCCAACTCTCCCAGCTGGGCATTTTGGGAAAGCAGCCAGCTCCAGGGCTAATGTGTTTCTGCTGTTATCTGACACTGATGCTGCTTCATAGAGGCAGCAATGAAGATAAGCCCTAATTGGATGTATTTTTAAGGCAAACCTTTTAGTTACTCAGAACAGAGCTCCCCTAATTAGCTTCCTTTTTCCTCTCTCTGGCTGTGCAAGGACCACACTGATGTGGAAACACAGGATTTGGAGGGGGGTCAAGGACAGTGGCCGGACAGCTGGAGGACATTCATGGTGAATTCAGGAATAATGCTCCATCAGACAGGCTGGGAGCTGTATTGCTAGGGGAGCAAGGCAAGTGAAGGATGCTCAGAGGATCAAATGTGACAAGCAGCCCCGGCAGTGGTCCAGGGTATAAGGCCAACACCCACACGCCAAAGGAGAGGGAAGGTATGAGCCGGTGCTTAAGAAGAAAGAACTAATCCTTTGTAATGTCCATCGTCTTGCTCCAATGGAAATATATTTCTCCAATGTAAAATATTTGAGCCATAGTTTAGGACTGAGAGTTTGAAGTTGCATTTGTTAATGTATTATCCTCACCTTAGAGAAAAACTGATTTAAATGCCTACCCTCTTGAAGTTATTAACAAGATTTCCATAGCCACTGAGAAGGAGCACTGCTTAGCAAAAGGAACAGGCTTAGAGGTCTTGATGATGAAGAAAAATAAAAAAAAAGGAGCAGAGTAGGAAAACATTTCTTTCTGGCTTTCCTTTCGGAAATGGAATTAGAAATGAGACATAATAAGTTAATCATTTTCCTTTGGTTGGAATTGGGTCTGCCATCATTACCTCATGCTCCCTAGGGCTTGCCAGTTCCTGGGTTCATTTGAGCGTGATTTAATATCGAGGGTATGAGGATTAATGCCCCTATGGGCCATATTGCATTAGTCCTGTGGTCAATTAGAAGGGTGAGCTGGGTTGGGTTGGGTGGCGGTAGTGGGAGAAGAAAATGCAGAGACGAAGCAGCTGCATCTTGAGGGAGTCAGGCTCTCCTTCTGTCCCCTTGATTTGGCTTCCGGGTGTTTTTTATGAAGCCATCTGTTCCCACGGCTGCTCCCTGATCCTAGAAACTTTATCTAAGCTTTTGACATGAGGATTTGCTTTCATAGGGAGTTTGTATTTGAGCTCTGTGTTATAAAATTACATAAGCTGTGATTTGGGGGATGCCGGCATCATTATTTGTATTTGTTAATGTATTATCCTCACCTTAGAGAAAAACTGATTTAAATGCCTACCCTCTTGAAGTTATTAACAAGATTTCCATAGCCACTGAGAAGGAGCACTGCTTAGCAAAAGGAACAGGCTTAGAGGCCTTGATGATGAAGAAAAATAAAAAAAAAGGAGCAGAGTAGGAAAACATTTCTTTCTGGCTTTCCTTTCGGAAATGGAATTAGAAATGAGACATAATAAGTTAATCATTTTCCTTTGGTTGGAATTGGGTCTGCCATCATTACCTCATGCTCCCTAGGGCTTGCCAGTTCCTGGGTTCATTTGAGCGTGATTTAATATCGAGGGTATGAGGATTAATGCCCCTATGGGCCATATTGCATTAGTCCTGTGGTCAATTAGAAGGGTGAGCTGGGTTGGGTTGGGTGGCGGTAGTGGGAGAAGAAAATGCAGAGACGAAGCAGCTGCATCTTGAGGGAGTCAAGCTCTCCTTCTGGCCCCTTGATTTGGCTTCCGGGTGTTTTTTATGAAGCCATCTGTTCCCACGGCTGCTCCCTGATCCTAGAAACTTTATCTAAGCTTTTGACATGAGGATTTGCTTTCATAGGGAGTTTGTATTTGAGCTCTGTGTTATAAAATTACATAAGCTGTGATTTGGGGGATGCCGGCATCATTATTTGAAAATTTACTTGCTTACATTAATAAGTAAGTGACTGATTTACTTAACAGGTTAGAGGCCAAATTTTTGAAACCAGAGGCTGAACAGGCACTAGTAGCTTCGAGACAGATGTTTTTCTCTTTTCTCTTTTTTTGATTTCTTGTGTGGTTATACTGCTGCGTGTAAATCTGGCCTCTTCCCTGCAGGTACCCATCTGTACTCTTTTATGTGTAGGGATACATCTTCCAGGAAATAGTCAGTCCTTATGATATTGACCTCAAGGGGCATGTTGGCTGGGCTTCCCAGCTGGGTTGGCGGTAAAGAATCCACCTACCAATGCAGGAGACATGGGTTTGATCCCTGGGTCAGAGGGATCCCCTAGAGGAGGAAATGGAAAACTCACTCCAATATTCTTGCCTGGGAAATCCCAGGGACAGAGGAGCTTGGTGGGCTACAGTCTAAGACTAATTTAGTTTATAACTAATTTTTTATATTAGTTTATAACTAATTTTTATAACTTATGCTGTTATAAAGCTAAGTTAATTCTAAGAAGTAATAGGTTTGAGTTCAGGTATGAAAATTTACAAGTCAATGACTTAACAAAGGTGGCCATTTGACTTCCTTTTCTCCTTTTCTGTGACCCTGGGAACATCGGCCCCCGTTACCACAGTGGGCAAAAAGCTGATGCTGTCTCTGCAACCACAGAACCAGAGCAGGACTGGCTTTAGAGAAGTGACAGGGACTTTGCTTGGGAGTAGAGGTAGATGCCACGGAAGCACTGTGGCAGAGCTAGTGGTCACTTAATTCTACTCCCCCTGCTAAATTTCCCAGCCTTCCTTGCCCTTGCTTAGGGCTTTGTGACCAGTTTGGGCCAAAGGACTGTAGTTGAAAGTCAAATGTGCTACGTCAAGGTTAAGGCAGTTAAGAGTCTGTGCGCCTTCTCCTCTCTCTCTCTCTCTACTCATCCCCACGCTGATCTTCGTTGTCGTCACGTTAGTCACTTCAGTCATGTCTGATTCTTTGTGACCCCATGGACTATAGCCCGCCAGACTCTCCTGTCTGGATTTTACAGGCAAGCATACTGGAGTGGTTGCCATTTCCTTCTCCAGGGGATCTTTCCAACCCAGGGATCAAACCCGGGTCTCCTGCATTGCAGACAGACTCTTTACTATCTGAGCCACCAGAGGAGACCATCAGTTATAAAGCCCATCTCTTCCTGGTGGAATATCCATGAGCTGAAGGAAGGCAGTGAGTCCTCCACTGGGCTCTGTATTCTAGTGAACAAGAAATAAAACCATTGTATTCAGCTAAAAAATCTGAAGCATCGTTTGAAATTTTCATCCAGAAATGCATAAAGCACGGGGTTCAGGCAGCTGTTGGTATAACCTAGAGCAATGCAGAAGTGCCAGGAAACGGTCTGGAAAGTAGTTTCCGGGATTGTGATCAAGGCTTTAATGATGACGTAGATGTGAATGGGCGTCCAGCAGACAATGAACACGGCCACCACCACCAGCACCATCCTGGTGATTCTTCGCAGGTTCCTGTCCTTTTCTTTGGAGCCAGAGAGCATGCGGACACTCTTGAGGCGTAAGATCATCAGCCCATAACACACTGTAATGATGAGGATAGGCATGATGAAGGCAAAGATGAAAACACAGATTTTCAGCAGGTTTTCCCAGTACCACGCTGGGTGAGAGAATGTTAGTGTACAATCTATGGAACCTAGAGAAAAAGAATTATAAGGAAGAATTAGCAGCAACATTTAATGCTATCATCAGGTGTTAATATTGCCATTTTGCTTTCAAATTTATAGCCTTGACCTGAGCTAACTTGTGGCTATTGATACACAAATCTGGGAAGGAAGATTTAAAGAATTCATGGGAAAAAATTCAGATCTCTGTTGATTTTTCCAAATATGTCATTTGGTTGTTCACTTTGATAATGCTATGTATCTCTTGCAGTGAGCTCGATTCTCTATGGAGTCTAAGTTGACATAAAAATATAATCACTGCCAGACTCTTTAGGAGTTTCCTTGTGGGATCTTAGTTTCCCTACCCAGGGTACCACAGTGAAAGTGCCAAGTCCTAAGCAATGGACCACCAGGAAGTTCCCTTAACTCCACTTTTTGATGGGTAGCTTATCATTCTGAAACAAGGTCTAAAAACATACACTTGTCATGTATGCAGTCACCTGACATTTTCAAACGAGCCTCCACTTAATGTTGGGTCTAAGCTCTAATTCCTCTTTAAAGATCTGTGTTCTTATGCTGCCATTGTTTGGATGAAGTGAGTGAAGAGGAATCAGGAATGAACAGATTTTGGTTTATATTCTCTCTAAAATGTTCACTGGACTTAAAATTTTAGGGGAAAATTCCTACTTCAAAATATTGGAAAGTATTTTATGAGAAAGAATCATGAAAACTACAGTTCGCAGCACACTGGGCCACTCCGTAAATTCTACTTGGCTCGTGACGTCACCAACATATCTATCTGTATACTCTCCAGCCCCCAGGCCCATAGCATCGCTCACCTTGCCGGTACTTTGTTGTTGCCATGAACATGACAGGCAGACCAATGGCTGAAGAGAGGATCCAGTTGCAGATGTTGATGATCTTGGCATTACGGGGGGTGCGGAAATCCAAGGCCTTGACAGGATGGCAGACTGCGATGTAGCGATCCACGCTCATGGTGCAGAGGGTGAATATGCTGGTGAACATGTTGTAGTAGTCTATGGAGATCACAATCTTGCACAGGATGGTTCCAAACGGCCATGTTCCCATCAGGTAATTGACACTCTGGAAAGGCAGGGTACTGGTTGCCAGGGCATCTGCCAGAGCAAGGTTGAAAATATAGATGTTGGTGGCAGTCTTCATTTTGGTGTACCTAGCAGATGAGGGAAAAGCAGTGGCAGAGTCAGAAAAAAACCCCATCAGTGTGAAATGCAATGAAGTTTTCAGTAAAATAAAAATTGAAAACTAAAAGACAAAAACCAAACAACCCTCCCCAAACCAAAGCAAAAACAATTGCAAGGATTAGTGGAAAGCATCTGAGATTAGATACAAAGGAACTCTTTCAGAGTACTAGGTTGGCCATTTATAATCATGTGCCTATGGGCTAAGTATACCATTTCTGTACTTATCTGTTTTGCTATCTGTAAAATGGTTATAAGAATAGCTGCCATACTGATTTATTGGTCTTTTTTTAAAAAATGTGCCAGGCACTGTGGTAAGTTTAATAGACTCAGGGAGCACTCAGTCAAATATCCACACAGAGGATAATAATACATTTAATTCTGAATAAGTAAGAGAAAATTTCAGATATACAGCTAAAAGTATGGAGCAGTATAATTGTGCAGGAGTGTATATATATGTGGGCTTGCCATGTGGCTCAGTGGTAAAGAATCTGCCTGCCAATGCAGGAGACATGGGTTTGATCTCTGGGTCGGGGAGATCCCCTGGAGAAGGAACTGACCACAAATCCAGTGTTCTTGCTTGCAGAATTCCATGGACAGAGGAGCCTGGTGGGCTACAGTCCATGGAGTCGGATATGACTGAGCGACTGAACCACAGCAAAATAACTGCAGAAGTGTCATCACGGCCAGAAACACTACCCATTTTCAGATTTGGGGCCTTTTGATTTGCTTGAGAAGTGTCCAAGGATGTAAAAGGGAAAAGGTAGAGAAAGTCACTGAATTTGAGGAGGTAAACCAATTTGATAATAGTGTGATTGTGTGCTAATTCGCTTTAGTCGTGTCTGACTCTTTGTGACCCCATGGACTGTAGCCCGCCAGTCTTCTCTGTCTATGGGATTCTCCAGGCAAGATTAATGGAGGGAGTTGCCATTTCCTTCTCCAGGGGATCTTCCCAACCCAAATCTTCTGAAGCAAAAAAATGAAAATGAAATAAAAGATATGACTTTTAAGACATTTGAGTAATTGACCTTGATGCTCAAGAAATTTTAAACTTTTTGTTGTTGTTTATTAGCAGAAATTTCCCCCTCAAAGCAGAAAGAAAACAAAAATAAACCAACCTCCCAAAACGTTGCTAGCTATACCATAGCACACTCAACTGCATCTGTCACTGTCTCAGTCAGTAGACGTACATTCCGCAGCTTATCTTTAGTAGAATGTTTTATGTTAAAGAATCAGTTTCTTTACTGTCAGTTTATGACTCATCATACTTCTAACCTTTTCTTCAGGCTCATCTTAGCCCTACGTGCTTACTAATGTATGATTATTTCAGTTAAAAAAGCTTTTCCTCCTTTAGAATGAGATGTTTTGTGAGACAAAATTAGGTTAGGGTCTCACACCATAAAAGGAAAAGTGAATATTTATCTATAAAAGTTATTTCACTTGTCATCTTATAGGAACAATGATGTTTAACTTTCTCCATTTATTCAAAAGATCCTTCCTCTAAAGATAGGCAGTATTCTTATCTCAGTTACTCACACGTTGAATCACAGCAACATATAAAAAGGGGTTCAGCCATTTCCAAAATATGTGAAAGAATAATACAAGACTAAATGTCTGAGAATTCCAATTGCTTCCAGTATAGCTTCAGAGGCTTCAATCTAAAGCGATATTCTGATCAGGAAAGGGGTCATGCTGTCCAGCAAACATGAGCTTTTCATTTTGTTCTGTTCTATGTGGTGGTATGAACATTGCCCCTGGAAAGTGACATGAATGATTAGACTCACACAACAAGCTATAAGAGTGTATACACCAGAGTTAGCAAGCATGCCAAAGAAGGGAGCCGAAGGGAGGGTCACATTTGCTGTTCTGTTTACCTGGGTGGGTCTGAGTCGAACTCCTGGATGTCAACACACAATCCTTCACCCATCCTTTGGGCCTTTTGCTTCTGACTGAGTCAGATGAAGTTGGTGGCAAAGTGGACAAAACAAACTGGGAGAGATAGGTGACATATTCCCAGAGTGTCTCCCCTGGATTATAGGGCCTTCCTGACATTGATCGTTCCTTCTATAGTCACTGAATTGGGTCTTTTCCTCTAGGTGGTGGGCCAAGATATTTTTTCCTTCCTAGTTATCCTACGGAAATTTTCCTAGTATGTATTTTTGAAATTTTGTTCTAAGTGATCGAGTAGCTTATTTGCAATATGAATCCAAAGGAATTGCCATACAACTGTTTAAAAAATGTACTCTCAGAACCTTCAATGATTGATCCAGTAGAGTGATTTTTATGGAGCTTCCAGGTGATATATTAGGGAAAGGGCGTCAGGAAGCCCATTTCATGGGCAGCTCACATATTCTCCTGTGCTCCATACATATCTTTTGTTTGTAAATGCCCTTCCTTGTTTGTGGCTACAATTCCTATTTATTCTCAAACCCATTCTTCAAACTATTTCCCCCATTACCAAAACCTCATTGAATTTTGACCCACATGTGCTAAATGAAGCCACCCTGAATTAACTACTTTTGCAATGAGATAGGCTTTGTAAACCTTTTGTTATTCTATTGTGTTTTTGAGTTAATTCTTGAGTGGTGATGATCCTGTCTTTGTCCAGAAATAAAAAAGACCAAGGATGCGTGAAAAGAGGATAAACTTCTCTGGTGGCTCAGTGGTCAAGAATCCATCTGCCAGTGCAGGAGACAGAAGAGATGCAGGTTCGATCTCTGGGTTTGGAAAATCCCCTGAAGGAGGAAATGGCAATGCATTCCAGTATACTTGCCTGTATAATCTCATGGACAGAAGAGCCTGGGGTCAGAGCCTGCCTGACCCCTACAGTCCATGGGGTCATAAGGGGTTGCAAAGAATCAGACACTACGTAGCATACACCTACCCCATCCACATTCCAGAATCCATCTTGTCAGTTTCGTATACCATCATGTGCTTCACATGGCTCTCTACCTATTGTAGAAGTTCACACTAGAACCAACTGGGATGCCCAGGATGTTTTTACTTTTTGGGGGGCTGATTTTCTGCCCTTTGATGTTTTTGACAAATGGAGTTTTTCTTTTTTTTTCTTTTACTGTTTATCTGTGAAGAAGAAAGCTATCTAACTCTGCTAGGATTCAATGAGCCCCTTTTCTATGCTCATCATTGTCCTTGGATACTTTTTCACATCTGTCATGACTTTTATATCCACTTACATCATTGACTCGATGGACATGGGTTTGGGTGGACTCTGGGAGTTGGTGATGGACAGGGAGGCCTGGCGTGCTGCGGTTCATGGGGTCGCAAAGAGTCAGACTTGACCGAGCAACTGAATTGAACTGAACCCTCACATAGAAAAATTCACACTTTTAATGGAGAAAAAAAACCTCAGAGTGTCATCTTTAGATACTCATGATTAATTGCATAAATCCAATGAAATAAAGTCACTTGTCCTACATTTCAAGTTATTATTTAGAAGAAGAAAGTAGACATATGAGTAACCACCTGAATCTCTCTTCTATTATCTAGACCATTTTGTTGTCCCAGGCAAATATATGTGTGTGTGTGTGTGTGTGTGTGTGTGTGTGTGTGTGTGTGTGTGAGAGAGAGAGAGAGAGAGAGAGAGAGGGAGAGAAAGGTTGAAAACAAGCAAAACCCATGATACACTCTCATCAGGAATTAACACAGAAAGAGACCATCTATTAGTTTATTATTTTCTGTTAAGTTCTCCTCTAGCTTAGTGGAGAAAATGGGAGATTTCTCACTTTACTATAAAGTATTCTAAAACATTTCATTTACATTTATTTCAGGTGGTCTTATGTGGTCAGTGACCA